TCACCTCCTGTTTCGACTGCCAGGATAGTGTGCTGACTCTTCCCATTGCTCCTTACCTTCCACCACCGATCCATTCTCCACAGAGTGACCAGAAGTCCTCTTTTTTTTTTTTTTTTAATTTTTTGTTTATTGCAGTAACATTGGTTTATAACATTGTAAAAATTTCAGGTGTACATCATTGTACTTCTATTTCTGCATAGATTACATCATGTTCACCACCAAAATACTAATTACAACCCATCACCACACACAGGTACCGAATTATCCCTTTCACCCTCCTCCCTCCCCCCTTCCCCTCTGGTAACCACCAATCCAATCTCTAGAAGTCCTCTTTTAATACACGAAATCATGCCCAAGTCATCCCTTGCTCAAAATTTTCCACATTCAGAATAAACTCCCAAATCTTCACCAAGGCCCAGGAGGCCCTGTATGATCTGGCTCTGGCCCTCTTTTGGACCTCATTTCTTATCATTCCTTTATCTTGCCTACTCTGCCCAAGTGACACTAGCCTTCCTGCCATTCCTCTAATTGCCTTGGCACTTCCAAATGTCACCTCTTCTGGGAGGCCTTTTCTAATCACCCAAACTGCAATAGCCCCATCTTTCCAGTAGGGTTCCCTGTCTGCCCCTATAGATCAGTTTATTTATATATCACTTACCTTTCACACTAAATGGTAAGCTTCCTGAAGACAGAAGACACTATTTGTCTCCATAGCCCCAGCACCCAGAGTAGTGTCAGGCATATAAGTGGTGCTCAATAAATTCATGATAAAGTAAAGAAGTAAAAGCCTAGACTACGATCCATATGAAGGACTTGAAGCTTCTTCCACCTCCAAAAATCTGAGTCTGTGAAGGGCCCAGCAGCCTGGGTCATCTAAATACCATTTATAGTCAGTTTGGGGTATCAGGAAATTTAGTTGGTGCTTCTTTTTTGAGATTGTGTTGGTTTTTCCCTCCTTGATCCCTCCCTTTGTAGGCAGCTGTCTGCAGAGCACAGTGGCCAAGGTGCTCTTGTGGGAAGAGGCAGGGAATGTAAAAGCCGTAATAGCACGCTTCTAGTCTGTGTACAATAGTGGCCTCCCTCTTCATCTGCATGGTTACTGGACTCAAAAAAATCTTTGCTTTATCCAGTCTGACTAACTCTTGCTTACCCCTTGAGTCCTGGCTTAAATATCCATTACTCAACGACAGGTTCTCAGTGCCCAGACTAGGTTAGATCGCCCAGTTCTGGGCTCCCACATTTGCCCTTTCTTAGGACTTGTCACACACCTGTAAACATTTATCATTAGCTGCCTTCCTTGTCAGTCTGCAAGCTCCAGGAATGACCCTGTCTGTCTTGTTCATCATTATAGCCAGAGTGAAGAACAAGCGACAGGGACAGAGTCAGTGCTCAATAAATGTTTGTTGCATTAACAATTGGATTTTTATGATAAGTGACAATAGAAATTGCAAAAAAAAGATGCGATTGATGACTGACTACTTATTACTTCCCTGATAACTGCATCAAAAGCAGCACCACACTTATTTGGACACTGTTTTGTTTTGTGTCAACAGGAGGTTGTGGAATAGGAGATTGATGGGACATTTGCTCCTGGAAATGATCTAGTTATTGTGAAGAGTTTTCGGAACCACAGAACCTGGGTGGTGCTGTGGAAACCATCCAAGGAAGACAATGAGTCAGATTTTGTTCATAAGATCCTCAGTGCACAGATCATGATTTTTCTAGAAGTTGTTTTATCAGGAAATTCTTCTGCACAATTTTACCCTTAATCTTTCTTCCTGTAGCCTAAGCCTTTTACTTTTCTATCGAGGAGGATAAAGCACAACCAAAGGTTTAGTGGAAAGAATTAGGAAAAGCTCTCGTGTTTTAAATACTCTTTAACTTCTCAATTTTTTCTTTCTACAAAATGGAAATAACTGTAACAACAACAACAATATCTAAATTTTCAAGATTTGGGTAAAACGATTTGAATAGCTGAGTATGTGAAATCTTTATAGCCTCAGTTGTTGGTACCACACAGTCCAGAATGCACAGACTTTTATAACTGATAGTTTTGTAACTTGTACATTCAGAACTGATACTATTAACCCACCCAAGTAGGACATAACATTCTGATAGAGCTTATCTATCCACATTTTGACCCAGTCAGATGCGTTAATGGAAAGGCTGAGGCTAGAGGTTTTCAGGGGGCCATCAAATAGAAAAATTGAGCCATGCGCACTGGAATAAAACCCTCACTCTGATTTACTAGCGCTGTGCTCTAATGACAGACCAGCCAACTTCCCAGGACCAAAGCTCCCATGTGTCTTACCAACGCCTCAGCAGCTCTTGGCTGCCGAATGCCACAGCTTGTGAAACCACTGCCCAAATAATGGGGAACAGAGAGAAGGGAGGGTCATCATTTTGGTGTTGGGAGGGATTTAGATCATCTGAATTTCAGAGAGTTTTTTTTAATGCAGTATTTGTTAAATTGAGGGCATGTATAAAGAGCTAGATGTCTGTTATTTAGAGGCCGATTATCCACATAAATGATACCCAAGTCCCATTCTGTTTTCTGAATGAAACTTCAGGACCAAGGTCTGATAGCAGAACGTTTGAAGGCAGGGCAGTCCTGGAAGCCTGGGAGATGGGCTCACCACTCCTTAGCTCTCCTCCTGCTCTCTCCCTTTGAGTGTGCTGCTGTCCAGAAATTAGAAAGGGAAAAGAAAAGAAGTCTAAAGCCTTCCTGTTGACATCTTAAAAACTGTAAGTTCTAGTCACAAGGTCAATTGCTACTGTAACAAATTACCACAAACTTAGTGGCTTAAACAACACAAATTTATTATCTGACAGTTGTGATCAGAAGTCCAAAATGGGTCTTATGGGGCTAAAATCAAGTTGCTGGTAGAGCTGCATTCCTTCTGGAGAGTATGGGAGAAAATCCATTTCCTTGTCTTTTCCAGCTTCTAGAAGCCTGCATTCCTTGGCTCATGGTCACATCACTCCAACTTCTGCTTCCATTGTCACATCTCTGTCTCTCTGGCTATCCTGTCTCCCTCTTTCACTTATAAGGACCCATGTGATTAGATTGGAGCCACCTGGATAATGCCAGATAATTTCCCATCTCAAGATCCTTAATATAATCACCTTTGTAAGTAAGTCCCTCTTGTCATGTAAGGTAGCAAATTCACAGGTTCCGGAGATGAACACACAGACCTCTTTGGAGGGAAGGGCATTATTCTGCCTATCACAGAAGACAATCAGAACTACTTGAGCCTGTGTTTGTCCTTTTATTCCTTTCTCATGACCTCCGTGACCTGCCTGGGGTTGCCAAGCCTCCGCTGTAGCTACCTAGGATTCCCCTCTCCCCTACTTCTCCTTCCTCTTCCAGATGCGGATTTACTGAAGCTTCAGACCACCATCCACCATCACAAACATCCCGCACACATCCCTGAACTCACTTCCTTGCCAAGCACTGGTCCAACGCCGAGTCTATATTGGTGTAGTTCTTATCAGTGCTGCCCAGCAAATATTTGTCTTCCCTGCATGACCTTCCTGGCACATGATGGAAGCACAATTCATGTGTGGCTCCTTTGTGGGTGGGAAGGTTCATGTGATAAGTTCTGGCCAGTGATTTATAAATGACCCTAGGTTGAGCATTTCATTGATGGTATGAGACCTTCTAGTACCTCCTCTTTTTCTTCTGGTACAATGACCAGCAGTGTCCAAGGTAGATGGACTTGGAGTTTACAGGTAGAATAAGCAGGAAATAAATTTGGTTGTAGCCCCTGTGATATTTTAGGGTTGTTTGTTATTGCAAGTAGCAAGGATTAAAGGGAGGTAAACGACAAGAGTGAACAGCACAGATTGCTCCTAACTGCTTCTCACCATTCACCTGTCTCTTCACAGGCCACATAGGTGTCCCTATTCCTCTGATGAAAATGCCCATAACTTCACCTTCTGGCTGTTGAGTTTCCTTTTTGAGGAGGTAGAGCATTTATTTTCTGAAATGTATATGCTAATATACCCAAAGACTTACCATTGATCACATGTAGTTGACTGTGTTTATTCTTCATCAATTGAAATGAGAAAAAATCTGCAGGTGTGCTGACTGGGGGTGTTGGAGGACAGTACAGGGGAGTGCCATGGGCATTTAACAACAATCATTCCGTTTATTTCTTGCGCTAAACTGTCACGTTTAGCGTGCTTATTTCAGGCTAAGCACAGAGAGAGGGAGAATTTGATGGAAACCACAGTAGCAAGGGAAACATGCAGACCTTCTGGAGAGAGAAAGGGGCTGAAAGGAGGCCGTGCCAGGCTGCCCAGGGTGTCTGTACACCGCTGGCACTCACCCCCCAAGTCTCCTTGTTTTGCAGCTTTTAGATGCCCTCGCTCACCCTGCTCCTGTCACCCTCAGCCCTGCTGGAACCGTTGCCTTTGGACAGCGATTGGGATTAAGGCGTAGCTCCCACCAGCTAGAGATGGAACTCCAGCCCAGCACCAGGGGTGCAGCAGGGTTGTCGAATGCCTGCAGATTAAAACCGGCACTCGAAATGCGTGTTTCACAGAAATGTTATTGTAACCTGGGTTTAATGTTGCTGGAGTTTCTCTATAACCAGAGTAAGAGCATTCAGGTCCTCAGCTGGGTTGTCAGTGACATGGGCTCCTATGGGCCAGCCTAAGAACCCATCACCCAAAGAAAAGCATTGTTTCCATGGAAACTTGTAATCTGTAACCCAAATACCCAGGTTAAAATTTTGCTATTTTGTTTAACTCAATGTATGAGTCTGTTGGGGATTGCCAATATTAGATAAAAATTGGAGTTCTTTTTTTAAATTTGTGGATTTTCTTCACCCAGATTGTCCATTCCTGTCAACAAGAATAATGGAGGACCCTCTATTCTCAAGTGTCTGTGTTTAGATGGAAACTTCTGTTACGGCAGGATTAGCCAAGACTAAGATAGAAATTCTTTTCCAGCCACTATTCATTTGCTTTTCCTTTCATTTCTTGAAACCCTGCAGGGCGAGCCCTGCTGAGACTTACTGACAAAAAGCTTGAACGAATGGGGATTGCCCAGGAGAACCTCCGGCAGCACATCTTACAACAGGTGCTCCAGCTGAAGGTGCGAGAAGAAGTCAGAAACCTACAGTTACTCACACAAGGTATCCTGCTGCTTCCTGGTGGGTGGATGGAAGGGGAGATGGGAGGAAAGAAATCCTTACCATCATGACAAAGGGGAGCCAGGGAGAAACTGTTATGGTTTTTTTGCAGAATTTGCTTCATTAAAAAAAAGTATACAAATTTAAAGGCCACTTTCCTCCTAAAATTTTTTGTGTGTGTGTGAGGAAGATCGGCCCTGAGCTAACCACTGCCAATCCTCCTCTTTTTGCTGAGGAAGACCGGCCGTGGGCTAATATCCGTGCCCATCTTCCTCCACTCTATATGGGATGCCGCCACAGCATGGCTTGCCAAGCGGTGTGTCGGTGCGTGCCCGGGATCCGAACCGGCGAACCCTGGGCTGCCGCAGTGGAGCGCGCCCACTTAACTGCTTGCGCCACTGGGACGGCCGCCCTAAAACTTCTCTTTTTTATAGTTTACTAGGGGGAAGGATGCACAAATAAGTAATGGGTGGGCAAATAGAATTATCTGAGTAATATCAAAGTCATCACATCTATATAGGTTGTGCACTGCCCAACCGCAGAGACTACCAGTCATGTAGATCAGAATACGATTGCACCCCCAGAGTTGTACAGTGTACAGTCTGCACAACTGTATGATGCAGCACAAGCTATCTTTGTCTGACCACCAATTCTGAGGGGGCCTTGGAATTTGAATGATTCCATAGTTCATATGACCAGTGATGTAAGTAGGATTTTTGTTGTGTTTTGTTTTACTTTACTTTTCACTGACTTTTCCCACTGACTAATGGGAGAAAATGTTTTAGAGGTGTGTGTCTGGACGTATATGTATGTATACACACATACACACACACACATTAGAGATTGTGAGAACCCTATTTAACATCTTGAAAATAGAATCATTTTTTTAAAATAGACTATGGGGAATTTAAGACTGGACTATTAAGACCATATAATTCTAAATAAGAATCATTAATGACTTCAATATGTTGAGAGCATTTAAGAGCCCTGTAACTGTGGAAGTGACAAAATAAAGCTGGAATTTGAAGAAAACCTTAAGTTAACACTCTATATAACTTTGTATGTCTATATAAGATTTGGTTGCTGTGAACCTCCATTGGCTATAACCCTATATTTCTTTTATTTTAATTCCCATTGTACATCATTTTAAATGAAAGGATGATAAAATATGTATTTTTGAGATCCTTGCATATTTTTCAATCTGTAGAATATTGTAATTGCGTGTACTGATATTGAGAAATCTGGGTCAGCCAAGTTTCATGTTATTGCATTTAGATTAACCAGCACTAGTCCATTTGCCTAGAGGAAGTAATTCACTGCCTGAAAGATGACTGCTCTAGAAGGATAAATATAGACTGCAAGTGATATGAAAATAGTATTGTTTATTTGATATGCATTATTTGCATTTTGTCTCCAGAGACTTGCAATGGTAAATTTATAGGTATGGGTACACTGAGTGATTTAAATTGGAATCTGATGTACTTCTAAGTTTCTTTTAAGAAGTAAATAGAGATTCAAAGATTTATCACAAGAAAGTCCATTGCAGTACTATTTATAAAATTGAAAAATTAGAAACAACCTAGAGGTCAGGCAATATGGAAAGAATCATAATTCTTCTTAAATTCGTAAGATCCAATGTAAGGCAGACATTAAAATTACATCTTCAAAGAATATATGACAACATGGGAAAGTACTCAAGAAGTAATAAGTGGGGAAAATAGGCCGTGTATAAAATTTTGTTTATAATATGAGCCCAATTTTGTAAAAAGAACAAATCTTTATATGTATATAGGAAAAGGACTATAAATGAATATGCCAATATTTTGATAATAGTTCTCCCTGGGTGGTGGGATCCTGGGTGATTTTAATTCTTTGTATTCTTTTTATTTTATTTTTAATTCTTTATATTTTTCTATATTTCCCAGTGTAAATCCACATAATGGTTATGATCAGAAAATACACACATATTTTTTAAGCTTCAACCACAAGCATCATTCTGGCAGGTTCCATTTAGTGTCTGAGGTTTCCTCTGCTTTTTTGTTTTCCTCTTGTGATGATATATAGAACATGAGACCCAAACTCATCATGTGTGCCGTAGATTCTTTCCTCTGCTACTATCAGCCTGCACAGTGTTTGCTTTGCAAAATCATTTTCTACAGCTTTCATTGCCCTAGATGCATAATATATAAGATTTTTTCCTGAGATAGTACTCAAGTCTATTAAGCTAAATATATGTTTGTGTTCTTAGAAGATGCTAAGTTCAGCCTTTTCAATTCAGTTGTCATCACTTTCTTTAGCTTTGAAAAGCTGTGCATTTTGAATTCTTTCATTCTGTTCCCTTTAGAAGAGATCACATTCTCTAGCTCTTGGATATTTCATCTGCACTCATATTACCTTTTTTATTGCTCGTCCTTTACATGTTAATGTTCAAACTCATTTCATGTCAGGCAGCCTTTGGAAAATCCATAGCCTTATTGAAGTGATGGTTTCTTTTTAAAAAATGAAACAAAAAACTGACAAGTTATTTTTATAACGGATAATAGAAGTTCTAAAGACAGCTGGAGTTGCCTTAAAATATTTTGGGTCTAGGTTTGCTATAAAAAGAATTGGAACTCCATTCCACCCAAGTGAACTGACTGGCTCAACATATATGTCATATGGAAATTAAACATAAGGGTGATATATGATTCAGTATTGAATATTTGATTCCTTGTCTCTGCAAATATTAATCAGTGGAAATAATATGCTGAATAAGTACAAGTAAAGGTCTTAGAATGGTAGTTTTTGGAAATCCTTGAGCTTCCCTCTTAAAGAGTGTCATTCACACCTCTAGTCTCTAGAGATATAATATCCTCCCCAGCCCACAGGGGACTGTGACTCTTGTGTAATGCAATTAATTTTTGTTTGTTTTGAACAAATATTTCTCAACTAACACATTTAAATGAGGGTTATTGCCTTCAAAGTAGCCAATTTTTGAGGAAAGGGATTTATTTCACAAACGATTAAATTTCTTATGTGTTTCCTTCTTGGCTTTGGAGGCAGTTTCAAAACATAAGCTTTAATTGTTTGAATAGCAAAAGTTTAGAAAGAACCTAAGTGTCCATCTTTAGGAGACCAGCTAAATTATGGTACATGCAGGTACTGGAGTGCTATGAATGCAAGAATGAGGAATAACAAGATGGATGGATCTCTGAGATGCTATGTGAGGTGAAAAAAGCAAGATGAAGAACAAGGTACAGAGTATGCTACATTTGTGAATGAAAGAGAGAGAAGTACTGTATATCTGTGTGTGCTTTGTTTACATAAGGAAGTTCTGAAAGGCACACAAGAAGCTAATGCAAACTGCACCTGTGTGAGAGGGAAGAAGGCAGATGGATATAGGGATGTGTGCCTTTTATGTCACTTTGAATTTTGAAATATGTGAGGATATTAACTATTAAAATTTTTAGAAAGAAACAAGAAGGAGAAAGTGAATTTGAGCATCAGACAGGCCTGAATTTTAAATCTTAGCCTCAACACCTATTGCTGTATTATTTTAAGGAAGTTACTTAATCTCTCCGTGTTCCAATTTCCTAATCTCTGAAAGGGAGATCAATAAATCTACTCACCTCATAGGGATGTTGTAAGAATTAAATGAGCTAAAATATATAAATCACTCAGTACAGAACATAGTTAGCTATCACTAATAGAAGCCACGAAATTAAATCAACCTTAGTAATTTAAAACGAAGCGTTATTTTTTTATAATATCTTTATTGAGATGTAATTCACATAACTTATAATTGACCCACTTAAAGGATACGATTCAGTGATTTTTAGTATAGTCAGAGTTGTGCAACTGTCACCACAATTAATTTTAAAACATTTTCATCACTCCAAAAAGAAACCTGTTACCCATTAACAGTGATTCTCCATTTCCTCCCAATGCCCCCCAACCACCAGCCCTTGGGAGCCTCTAATCTACTTTCTATCTATTTGCATATTCTGGACTTTTCCTATAATGGAATCATTCAATATGTGGTCTTTTGCAGTTGGCTACTTTCACTTAGGATAATGTTCTTAAAGTTCACCTATGTTGTAAGCATGTGTCAGTATTTCATTTTTTTAATTGCCAAATAATATTCCGTTGTATGAATATGCCATATTTTATTTATCCATTCATCAGTTGATGGACATTTGGATTGTTTCTGGATCTTGACCATTATTTTTTTTTCCTCATTTTTTTTTTTTTTGTGGGGAAGATCAGCCCTGAGCTAACATCTGCCAGTCCTCCTCTCTTTGCTGAGGAAGACTGACCCTGGGCTAACATCCATGCCCATCTTCCTCCACTTTATATGGGACGCGGCCGCAGCATGGCTTCACAAGCGGTGTGTCGGTGCGCGCCCGGGATCCGAACCAGCGAACCCTGGGCCGCCTCAGCGGAGTGTGCGCACTTAACTGCTTGCGCCACCAGGCCGGCCCAAGACCATTATTAATAATGCCGTTTTGATCATTTGTGTACAAGTTTTTGTGTGGACCTGTTTTCAGTTCTCTTGGGTATATACCTAGGCGTGGAATTACCGAGTCATATGATAACTCCATGTGTAACTGTTCAAGGAGCTGCCAGACTGTTTTCCAAAGCAGCTCTACCATTTTACATTCCCACAAGCAGTGTATGATGATTCCAGTTTCTCCACATCTTTGCAAACATTTGTTATTGTCTGTCTTTTTGATTATAACCATTCTAATGTGTGAAGTGGTATCTCATTGTGATTTTGATTTGCATTTCCCTGATGGCTAATGAGGTTGAGCATCTTTTCGTTGAGCTTATTGGCTATTTGTGTATCTTCTTTGGAAAAACATTTATTCAGATCCTTTACTTATTTTTTAACTGGGTTGTTTTTTTCAAGCTTTATGTTTGACCCACCATGTTTCACTATGCTTGATTACCTACTTTATTTACAAGATCTAGAGCTAAATATTGGGCTACCATTTCCAAAGAGGAACCCTACCCTCAAAAGATGT